TTCTTCAACTAATAAATCGCAAGATAAAACTAGGAGAGGGAGAGGAAACTTACAGTTTAGATGAAACAGAGAACAACCAATTGTAATGTACAATTTGAATCCTGATTTAAGCAAACTTAAAAAAATTAGATGATCAGAAGTTTAAACATTTACTAGGTTTTTAAAATGATATTAAAGAGCTATTGTTAAATATTTCCAGCTGTGCTAGTGGTGTTACAGTTATACTTTTAAATTTTCTTGCCTTTTAGAAGTACATGTGGAAATATTTATAGATAAAATGAGATAATGCCTGTGCTTTGCTTCAGGTAATCTTGAGGCTGGGGAGAAAGTGTGTGGGAGTATAGATGGAACAAGGTTGATGTAAGTTGAAAGTGCGGGATGGATATATGACTGTTTACTATTTTTGTATTTAAATTTCTCCATTACAAATTTTCAAAATTTATCTGGGTGAAGGGAGAAGCTTACTTATAAATAAATGTTTAAACTAAACAAACTATGTGGGTAAATATTTAACTGATCTGAATGATGAATAACTTTTTAAACATAAAATAAATGGATAATATACTAAAGAAAAGACTGCTACTTTAATTAAAATAAAAACTAAATATGCATGTGGGCGTGCTTCAAAAAAATCTTAAAGTTAAGAGACAAACACACTAAGAAAAATACTTGCAACTTATAAAAGGTTAAAATGCTTAGTATATAAGGGATAATAATAACAGCTAACATACCTATAATGCACTAGCTACTTTGCAAAAAAACATTTAAATTCTTATAAAATAGAAAAAGTACTAATATTTCATGGCCTGATAAATAATTCATAGAAGTTCAAATAATCGTAAACAAATAAATATATATTTAACTTTGCAATAATTGTAATTGCAATCTAAATCATACTAAGATTTTAACCTACCAAAATAGTGAAAATTGTTGTTAGTGATTGATACCTGTTATTGATGGTGCAGTGAAATGGCCAACTTCTTACATTGCTGGTGGAAGCATTAAGTTGGAAGAATCTTTCTGAAGAGCAATTCAGCAATAGTGAGTCTTGAAAACATTTATACTTTTGACCCTATTATTAACTTTCAGGAATGTATAGCATTGACATGATTAGAGATGCATATGAAGATACATGTGCTAAATAGTTTTTCAGAGTTCTGTTTGTAATTAAAAAAAAAAAAAACTAGAAGCAAATGAAATTCCAAAAAGATAAAAAAGAAGCATCTAAATGAAATATAGAATATCAATACTTTGGAATATTAGGGAACATTAAAGTTGTGTTTTCAAGTGGAAAATAATCCATTAACAGGTGAATGGATACATTAATTGTGGAGTAGCTATATAATTATTAGTCAGAAACAACAACAAAATAAATAAGCGAACAGCATGAATGAATCTCAAAACATTATACAGAGAAAAAAAAAATCAGACAAGAAGAAATTTATACTGTTTGAATTCACTTATATGGAATTCTAGAACAGGTAAAACTTATTAATGGCTAAAGATGTCAGATCAGTGGTTGCCTCTCAGGCAAGTCCAGAGATTGACTTAAAAGGGACATGAGGCAACTTTCTGAGAGGATGGAAACGTTCCATATTTTGATAGGTGTGCATTAATCAGGTATATCCTCTTATCAAACTCATCTCCCTTCATCTACTTAATTTCTACTCAGACTTCATGTTAAGATCTTGCCTTTAACTATGTAAATTAGACCTCAAAAATCATAAATTCGAGGGAGATTTAATAAAATAGGAAAAATATTCACCTTACTGTCTTAATTGGAAAACAGAACCATATTACAATGCTGTGTATATAGCATGGTCTGAACTGTGTAAAAAAAAAAAATACATGAGAGGCATACACAGATAGAAATGACAAGAAGGATATATTCCAATGACAGGTACAAATTTCATAAGTAGAAAATAAAGTAAATATTCTTGAAACTTCACTTTATACCAATACCCTTTTCAAAATCTTCAGATTTTAGCTTTGACTTTCTTGCAGTTCCTCGGATACAGAACTTTTGTTTCCTGTGCCTCTGATCACCTCATTCTCTCCAGCTGTTTAATTCCTGCTCAGCTCTCAGCTCTCAGATCAGTCTGGACCTACCTAAAGAAGCCTACTATGCTCCTCCCCTCCCCAGGGCAGGTCAAATGCATTATGCTCTCCTTCCTGGTACTTGTTACTGAAAAAGAAAAAGCCAATGTGACAGGCAACAATCATTTATTTGAGATCTAAAAGCATAACTATTCAGAAAGCACTGACTCAGGCAGAAACTCAAATACTGTTTCAGTTAGCAGGCAAAGACAAGGGAGATTCATGAGAAAGGGTATGAGAACAATTACACGAATAGAAGGAATTTCTATAGATGTAGATAAACTAACATAGTGATGCTAATTCTAAAGAATGTTTCAGTCTGGCAGTCATAATACCTACTTTCTTGTTATCTTTGCAAACAGTTGTCTGAGATACAATGTTGCTTTAGGCCCAATGCAAAGGTTATTTTGTCCAGTTTTAACATTCCAAAGGTATGAGGAATAAGACCTAACAAAGGCAGTTACTCTGGAATGGCAGCTCTGGCTCCATTTTAAAGTGACTCCATTTATATTATTTTATAATATACTTAACAATTGTAATTTTTCATTTTTTTGCATGTACCTCAAGTTAGCTAAACTGCAAGGTTAAGGGTACTGTCCTCTAGACGGCCAAGTCTGCCTAAGACTTGATACCAACTGCAAGTTCAGGGTTTTCCAAAACTAATCTCAGGTTCAATAATTTGCTAGAGACTCGCAACTCACTGAAACCTATTATACTCATAGTTTCATTTATTACAAGAAAAGACTACAAATTAGAATCAGCCAAAGGTGGAAGAGATACACAGGGGAGAGTCTGGGCAGTTTCCAAACATGAAACTTCTGTTGTCCTCAGGATGCATTACCCTCATAGCCTTTTTTTGTTACAATATGCATGGATTATTGTCCATCCAGGAGCCAGACCATCTAAATTCTGGTGTCCGAAATTTTTTTGAGGATTTATCATGTAGACACGACTGATTGATTGATTGCCTACATGGCTGAACTCAGTCTCTAAATCTTTCTGACTTTCTGGCCATGGTTTCTACTCTTAAGACTGTTGGGTGTGATTGTTTCCACCTTGAGAAACCCTTTGGCATAAACTATAGGGTGTGGTCTGAGGGACTAACGAAGACACTCTCTTATCCTTGGGAAGTTCCGAGGACTGGAGATGACTTCCCAGAAACTTAGGTTGTGGGGAGGCCTCTCTTTGAGCAAGCCAAATTCTTACTACACAGCATGCTTATGTAAATAGTGCTCCCCACCTTCTCTCAGATCCAAAAAGCTAGAATCACCTCTGGTTTTGCTCTCAGTTTCTTCCCAAGTACCTAACATAGTGGTTGGCAAATGTTGAGAGTCTGCATAATATAGTACAGTGACCCTTGAACAATGCAGGTGTTAGGGGGCGCTGACCCACCACCCCACGCAGTCAAAAATCGATATATAACTTTTGACTATCCCCAAACTTAATTACTAATAGCCTACTGTTGATTGGAAGCCTTATCAATAACATAAATAATTAACACATATTTTGTATGTTATTTGTATTAAATGCATGCATTCATGACCTTTTAAAATTTTTTCTAGGCTATGCAGTTCATCTGCAAGTTTTTTCAAATCGTCGCAAGCCTCCAAAAAATTTTCCAGTAGATTTATTGAAAAAAATATCTGCGTATAAATAGAACAATGTAGTTCAAAATAGTGTTGTTCAAGGGTCGACTGCAGTTCATAGCATGAAATTGGCAGTCTGCATTTGAATCTTGGCTCTTATTTTCATTTATTGAGTTGAGCCAGGATGGGTTATTTAACCTCTCACTGCCTAATTGTCTTTATCTATAAATTGCGGTTAATGATAATGCCTATCTCAGAGAGCTGCAATGAGGATTAAATGAATGAAGATAAGTAAAGTTCCCAAAATAGTACCTGGCACAAAGTAAAAGCTAGATAAATGTTTAATATTATTAAATGCTCAATAAATAGTTGCTGATTGAATAAGTGTCTGGCACATGAGGTGCCTAGTAAATATTAATTGAAAAAATAAAATAAGATTTTCTTCCTTAGTAGATATTCCTATTTTTCTATTAATATAATACCAGATGTATTGATTCGGACATGTCATCAATATGCCTGATATTTAGCTCTCAAATCAGGCATTATTCTAAAGGTTATAGCTCAATAATATGCTTTTAAAAAGTACAAAAAAAGTTTTAGAGTCTTTTTGCCTCTCCAGCTGCCAGTACCCTCAACACAGAGTAAGGAGTTGAATGAGATAGGGTTCAAGGTGACTTCCAACTCCAACAAAATGTTATTTGTCCTTAGGAAACAAACTAAATATAACAACAGAGAAGACCATTTTACATGGAGGCATGAAACCTTTGAATGTGTAAGTTTCCATTAAAAAAAAGGAAGAAAGAGAATGTTCAGTTGATTACCAAAATTCATGTTTAATATGTGAAAACATAGATTTGAATTGTGGCAATTAATTTTTATTAATTCGTTGGAATTTGACTCCCCAGCAAACCACACTCACAGATCATAGAAGATTTATTTTAATCTGCGAGAAACAGTTTATTTTATCTTCTCACTTACGTTGGCCTAATGTGGCCTAATTTCTAATATTACCAATTAGAGAAAAGATTCACCTTTTTAAAACATTCATTTTAGTTATGATGTAATGTATATACATTTAAATACAATCACCAAATGTTTTCAAATTGATTTTTTATTATTAAGCAATTATTAAATTATTTAACAATAAAAAGAAAATATGTTCCAAACGCTCCTCCCACCCTGTTCATTTTCCAAAGTTAGTAAATGTTAACAATTGTTTCCACACATTTCTATGCATATACACACAATAAAAAATATGTATATATGTTCCTGTTGTTGAAAGTATTTGTAACGTGTTACTTTTTCTTGTCATTTTAGTGTTACCACAGGCAGTTACCCAATTTGAAGAATTGGTTGGTATGGCGGAGGCCGTGCTTAAGGGTGGAGGAACCATGTCTACATCTGCATCCACTCTCTGGAGAGCAACAAACAACTCCTCACCAGATTCATTCGCCTCAATGTGCAGCAACTCTAATTCTAATTCCAGTTCACCAATTTCCTTGAAAGCTGAAGAAGAGCATCATACTGATGAGAAGCAGGTCAGTTGGAATACCTGCCCTATCTGTCCTTGGGATACAGTTAAAAACAAACATTAAAATAAGGGTACAAAATGCCAATTGTTTTATCACATAACTTCAGGTAACTTTAGGTCACAGCCATAACATTCCGCATAAAACAATTTTTCACAATAAATCTGATATTTGTGAAACAAATATCTAGTTTAGAAAACTCAGGTCAAATTGTGGACAATGATGAAGTTTATTAAGCTAGAGAATTCTTAAATCCGTGACAAGTGAATGACTATACATTAAGGGTTATAAAATTATATCATTGAAAGAAGATAAATTTCAGTTTCTGCGTGTCATCTGGACACTATTCTTTTTCTAACTCCCCAATTTCTCTTAATCAAGAAACAAGCTAAAAAGACAAGAGTTTTGTTAGAATTAAGTATGCCTTCAAGAGCAATAATTAAATACTAAAAACCTAACATTCAGAATATTTGAATCTTAATGTATCAGTTTCCTTTTGCTATACAACAGATTACCACAAAATCAATGACCTATAATAATACAAATTTATTATCTCAGAGTTCTGTAGGTCATAAGTGTGGTAACATCAAGATGTTGGCAAGCATACTTCTTTCTGGAGGCTCTTACAGAAGAATATATTTCCTGCTTATTTGGGTTGTTTGTAGAATCCAGTTTCTTATAGAACCGAAGTCCCCGTTTTCTTACT